CTTTTAGAGTTCTTTAAGAAATATCTTCAAAATATTTCAAAGAATACTGAAAGATATCTTAAAATTGTCTTACATTGATTTTATCTGTTTTTTCAATATTTAGAAATTAATATCTCATATATATTAGGTGTACAACTTCGCTTCCGTTTTTTTTCCGAAATTCGAGGCTTTATTGTAAAAAACTGGTTATACATTTATGATTCAAAGTATTGTCCATCGCTGGCCACTACTTTCTCCCATCTTTCGGGTAGCGTATGAATCCCGTGTCGAAAAAACTGGTCATCTTTTGAGGCTATCCACGAATCGATCCAATTTTTTACTTCTTCATAAGACCGGAAGTGCTGGTCAGCCAGGCCGTGTGCCATTGATCGAAACAAGTGATAGTCAGAGGGAGCAACGTCTGGAGAATACGGCGAGTGGGGTAGGACTTCCCATTTCAACGTTTCCAAGTATGTCTTGACCACTTTCGCAACATGGGGTCGAGCATTGTCATGCTGCAAAATCACTTTATCGTGTCTCTCGTTCTATTGCGGCCGTTTGTCTTTTAATGCTCGGCTCAAACGGCATCAATTGCGTTTGATATCGATCGCCTGTGATTGTTTCAGTCGGTTTTAATAAAGTTCATAATACACTACGCCGAGCTGGTCCCACCAAATACAGAGCATGACCTTGGACGTCAAAATCACCGTTCTTGAAGCGTTGAAACCACTCACGACACATTCTTTCACTAATAGCGGCCTCACCATAAGTATTTGAGAGCATTCGATGAGTCTCAGCCACAGATTTCTTCATATTGAAGCAAAAAATTAAAATCTCCCGCAAATGACGAGAATTTGGCTCGTAAACTGATATTTTCAATCGAGAATAACTTTATGATAAAACACAAATCGACTAATGTTTCTATGGTTATGTTGACAGATGCCCAAGTTTATTGTATGACGTCTATGATCTATTTATTTCGACCACCACTTACGCTAAAGCCATCTATAGGAAAACGGCGGAAACAAATAACACCTAATATAATAAGAAAGTCTTTTGGAACCTATTCAGGATCTTATTAAGCAATGTTAATATATCACATTAATAATACAATATGATTTATGTATTACAATATATATACGTTTTGACTCATTTTGAAGTCCTTCTCAATATTACAGTCTTGAAAAATTGTGTTGTGTTTTTTAGTGATATACATTTGGATAGTACGGTAAAACCGAGATACACCATTAAATTGTCTGATTTAATGATGTAGTTAATTGTGTTGACAGTACGCATGACGGAGATCTTCTGAATTATTAATTTAATATCTCGTTAATTATTGTGAATATCGCAAAATGGTAGAGGACTTTTCGACTCAGTTTTAGGAATAGCATTGTATGATTACTTATTTCAGATACTGTAGCTAATAGTTATATTTATATTAGTTATAGTTATATTTATATTTGTAAACATTGATTTAATTATATAACAATAATAAATTGTGTTTAACAAATTATACAAATGTATAAATTATACTTACTGTAATACAATAATATTGAATAATTCACAAAATTTATAATTTCGAGCGAAAAAAGATATTGTTTGTAATAGATGTGATCCGTAAATCAATGGTCAGCGGACACGCTATATGATAAATGCATGACTTAAATTGGCACTTTACATACTTATAAGATCTGTCCCACTTTTTTATTTAAAAACAGTAAGACGCATTTAGTTACGATTAAATATTATAACGAATGATAAAACGTTTCCTACTGTAAGATATATTTTAAATCGTACGTCTATCATTTACACGAATAATTAATAATTACAGGCCAAGCAGAATAAACGTCATGTTAACGTCAAACAATTCCCGATAAAAAATTTTTTATGTAGGAATATACATATATGAATATACATATATATGCATAAATATGCATATAATATGTACATGTATATGTATATACAGAATGTCTTACAATTCATGACCGAAATTTTGATAACATATTTCTGACTTAAAAATAAAACAATAATCCTAATATCAAAATTGAGGCTATAATAGTTTTTAAATTAATTGCGATTAAAGTTAACTATATCCATTTGTGAACAATTGAAAAGTTTTTCTCGGGCCGCCATGGCCTCGTTCTCTGGAGGAGGGGGGGGAGAGACAGTGCTCGCTGTGCTTCTTCTTTTTTTCTCTTGATTCTTCAATCTTTATTTATGATTCCTCTACCTCGAAAAATAGCTTGTAATCAGAAATTCTTCCTAATTTGAAGAAGGATCGCAATCCCTTTTTAAAGAGGCAGGAATTAATGCTTCGGATCCTACGCGTAACAATATCGACACGGCTACAACAAATAATAGTGCCGATAGGAACATGAACAATAGTGGCGCATAAAAGCATAATTCTGGAAAGTTAAGAAGTCCTTGAATCATCCCCAATGGTCACGCAGAAGGAATATGGATATGGATTATGAGAACGTTTCCAGGAAGCGTTCTCGACAATGTGAGGGGGATGAGGAAAATCAACGAGCGGATGATTCCCGCCAAGAAATGCGCGAGCGCGCCCACGGGGGCGCCTTCTTGAATCAGATCATTGGACAGAACTCCGGCAACAACACAGCAAGTGCCTCTCAGCTAATAGTGCAAATATTAACATGTTATGATACGGTCTGCGTGATCTTGGCCCATACGCAGTGTACGTATATTCAAACAATAGAGAAAATACATTACATGCTACCCTCATCAGTAGCATTATTGCAAAATCCGACATTCCTGATGTTCAAGAAATCAATAAGATCGACAGGAGCAAGATTCTCATTGAGGTTAATTCGGCCGCGGCGGCTAACAGGCTCGTAGAAAACTCAGTCTTTATTAAACATAACTTCCACGCATTTATCTCTGCTTTTAAGGTATTCAGGACAAGCATCATTCAGAATCCGCAACAAATTGATATAGACACGCTAAGGAATCACTTGGAATCCAATTGCCGAGGACAAAAATCTTGGATATGCAAAGATTAAATCGCAGATACGAAAAAGAAGATAAAGTAAAATACATTCCTTCCAGAACGATCCGAATTAAACTCGCGGGTCAAATCCTTCCCCAAAAAGTATACTTATTTAAAATTAGACATGAAGTTCGTCCTTTCATTCCTCGAGCTCGCATTTGCTATACGTGCTGTCGTGTAGGATATGTTAGTAACTCATGCAAAAATATATCGAGGTGCTTGTATTATGACGAAAATAGACATAGTGAGATGAACACCAATTGCCGTCTTTAAGAAGATTCCTCCAAGTGTATCAACTGTCAGAGTAAACACTGGATCACAGCAAACATCTATTCCGTTATACACAAGCAGAGAATTATAGTGAACATGGCGGCGATCGAAAATATCTTAATCGCCGACACCAGGAGAATAGTTATAGCAGCACCTAATTCCGGCTCGCCTAGTTCGTTTGCACCTCCTGATTACAATAATTTTCCTTATCTTCCGAGGAGGAAGTCTCCCAAGGAGGGGCATTCCTTTGAGAGCAATAACAGATTTGATCTTTATGTAAAGAGGTGGCCTGAGATACCAGTTCTTATGCCAATGCAATAAGGTCTCGCCCTCTCTGGTGGGCAGGTTTTTAACAGAATTCGTGAGGATACAACTGGTCAGCAATGCCCAGCCCGACAAGGCACATCTCACATTAAGGAAGTAAATCTCGACAGAGAAGCGCACCGTGATGATGCGGTATATGAATTCAACAGTACTCTCACTTTTTTGGGCCAAGATGTCCTCCCCTCCCCTCCCTCCGAGGAGAGGAGATGTCAGCGAACCCAAGGAGCAGGTAACAAAAATAACAATAATCTCACGAATCTTCTCTTCGTGCTCTTTAACTTGCTCGCGCGTTTTCAAAATAACGATTTATCCAATGCTCTGAGCGTAATTATGGATTTAGTCAAAATCTTCCCAGCAAACGGGAATGGATTGAAATGAATTGAAATGAATTCAGATTTTCAGAAATATTGATTCATAAATGTTAAAATGAATGCTTTTCAATCCTGAATGCATTTTTATTCATTTATAAGAATTGCATGGAGCATATTTCTATGCCTTTCAATCTAAAAATAATATTAGCTTTTTTCGTGCATTGTGAATACTGTTCAATTCAAAACTTTGTATAAGAAAGTTTTTCAATCCAATTGCGTCCAATTGAATCTAATTGAATCCAATTAAATCCAAAAAAAGTATTCGCTATTTAAAATATGCATTTGTATAGAAAAAAATTTCATCCATTTTAATCCATTCTCATTTGTTGGATTATGTAATAGCTTCCAGTTCCTATTTCCCCCTCATGAGGGAAGGATGATAACTCCCAGAGGTCTTCTTCAGATAATCCTGCTCCATTTTACGCTCAACAATCTAATTTTTCTAATATGCGCAGTTACACTTATGACAATGGATATGGTTGCGGAATTAAATCATTCCATCAAATTAACAGTGACTCGCGCGCTGGCGTCTCTGAGGGAGCGTCCCCTTCCTCGGGATTGGGGGGGGGGAGACTCTGCCGATAGCTTACGTGTATTCCTCAGCAGACCCACAAATCGACCCACAAATCGAATAAGAGTTTTTCAATGGAACTGTTGTGGCATTCGCTACAATCTTCCCTCATTAGCCATCGTTAAAGAATATGATATACTCTGCTTGCAGGAATCCCTGCTAAAGCAATCTAGTAATCTCAAAGTCAAAGATTTTAAAGTTCTTAAAAAAGATATCGCACAAGCCGGCGATAGGGATGTTTGCACACTTGTACGAGAGAATTTGACCTATGATACAATGGAATTGAACATCCTTCGGTGGAATACCTCATCAAGTTGTCTTCCTCAGAGGAGCAAATCACAATAGTCAATTTATATAGACATTCGGGGCAAAATATCCCTTCTTCATTTTATCAGAGTTTATTTAATAAACTGAATAATTATAAATTATCTTGTTTTAGGGGACATGAATGCTCACAGTCTATACAATCTGGGCTGTAAAAGAGTGTCTGCTTCGTGCAAAAAACTCATGATGGCCATTAAAGATTTCGATTTGGTTGTTCTAATGAAAATACTCCCACGCTTAAGCATTTCTCGACTTCATCCACCTCAATCATTGATTTGGTTTTATTGGCCACAATGCGTGACTCTTACAAGGACAAGGACACTCCTGACAGCAACGGTGGTCACGCAAATCGGTGCTCAGGTTTGCCTTAAATCCAACATTCATTATAAGCTTTTCTTAAGAAAAAAGGAACTCGATGAATTGTATCGTCGCCTGCTGTCTTCGACCGCGGCATCTCCTCTAGAAGAGGAAACCGATCCGATCGGGCGGTACAACATTTTTGTACAATATCTATACTCGATATTGCCAAGAGTCTCGTATTAGAAGGCAAAGACTTTCTGCGCAGCAGCGTACAGGGAAAAAAATCTTGACGCCCCTTGGAACGAGGAGTGCACCAGGGCGGTAGAGGATAGAGGACGATCGGTAGGAAGGTTCATCTCACACCCCAACAGAAATAATTTCATGAAGTTTCGAAAAGCCAGAGTCTCATGCACCAAGTGTCTAGCAGCACAAAAATGTAAAGGGTAGCGTGATTTGGTTGGCGACTTTAACAGTCAAACCACCACGAGCCAGATATCCTTATTAAAAGCTTCCGCAGAAACTGCACTAAATTATCAACTATTGCAGGATCTTAGGCAGGCCTCACTAGATTCGGTTTCTAAACTCTGTCCGCCGTCATGTTATTATAATCGTACCAAGTCTATGAAAGCTATGTATTATGAAAAAAATTATTTTAACGTTTGAAGAAACATTTCTTTAACATTAAAAAAACGTTTTTTAATGTCATAATTATTTGAACAAAATTAGAAAACAATAACACTGTAGAATTTTTTAAATTTATTTTTTTTTATCGACAGTGCCTAAACATTAGACAACTAATTTTATTAATTAATTCTAATTTTTAATTATATTTTATTGGGAGTACAAATAAATTTCCACCGTTTTTTATCAAAAATTAAACATTTATTATGAAAGAACGATACATAATGTTTTATTCAAAGTAATGGCCATCGCTAGCTACTACTTTTTCCCATCTTTCTGATAGCATGTGGATACCGCGTCGGAAGAACGCTTTATCTTTTGAGGCTATCCAATCATCGATACAATTTTTGGTATCTTCATATGATGTGAAATGCTGCTCAGACAGGCCATGCGTCATCGGAACAAGTGGTAGTCTGGTGGGGTAGAACTTCCCATTTGAGTATTTCTAAGTAGGTTTTGATCGCCGCAACATGTGGTCGAGCATTATCATGCAGGAGAATAATTTTGTCATGTCTGAAGTAATAGTGGGCGCGTTTTTCCTTGAGTGCTCGGCTCAATCTCATCAATTATGTTCGGTAAAGAGCCCCAATAATAGTCTCGTTCGATTTGAGCAACTCATAATACATGACATCAAGCTAATCCCACCAAATACACAACATGAGTTTTTTTCCATGAATATTCGGCTTGGCTGTCGATGTTAAAGCATAGCAAGGTGATCCCCATGATTTCCTCTTCTTTGGGTTATCGTAATGGATCCATTTTTCATCACCAGTGACTATACGATGCAAAAAACCTTTCATTTATGCCTGGCAAGCAGCATTTTCACATGTGAAAAATC